AGACTGAGCTCTCCCTCATAATTTTTCTTTCCTCTTCATTTTATCTTTCCTATTCAGTCATGCCTTATGTCTTCCATCAAAAGTGTACACAGTTCTTTTGTTAGTTTCATCTCCTTTCCATACCTTGGGATGATAAAAATGTCCAGAAATTGAGGCCAAAACTGCTAGATTAATCACAGTTTCCAATGACAGCTCACCACATGCTAAGTGAATTCCTCAAATCCCCCAAATGATTTTTTTGCCAGAACATGTGGAGCTACAACATTCAATATTTTATTGGTGCTGTTATCTCCAAACCAAGAATAGCTTTCTTGGAAAAAATGATTTGGTATCTACTGTGGGAATATTTTTAGCAGCTTGTTTGGTGAGATTTCAGAAAATATAATTAGTAATAGAGATGTCAGCCAAGTTCTAAGTTCAGTTTTAAGCAAACTCTACTTAAAAGGCACCTTGTTTACAGTTTATATTATCAAGATCAAAAGGTGTATTTCTGTAAGAACATACAATCATTCACTGTTTCTTGGATAAATATTTGTGTTTCTGAAAGTTATGGAAATGGCAGTACTAAATGTTTGAAACCTTTCCTTTGTTTATATAAAAGGTCCCATACATGTAAAGTGCTGGAAACATTTCCTAATTTGCCTTCATGCTTTTATTTAGGCAGCAGTTTTCTGGGTTCATATCATTTACAATATTTCAAACTACATGCTAATTATGTATTCTACTATATATGACCAGTAGTGAAAGAAATGCTATGGAAATAATAAAATACTTTTTGAACACTTGGTTGTTTACACTGCAGCAAAGAAAAAAAAATCCACATTAGTATTTTAACAGCTGCTGATGGCACAAAGACATTATTTTTATTATACAGAGCCTGCTTATTTTCTCTTGATTGTCATATACAAATGAAATACATTACTGTGATTCATACAGTATAAGATGATAGTCCTCAGCCTTTTCCATTCTGAAGCCATTCCCATAACACTAGCAAAATACTTTGTTTTAAGCAAAACTGATCTTTCATAGTGATTAGGACAAAATTGATAATAAAGAATATGTGATGTTGAATTGATATTGTAATATGCATTGAACTGGGGTGAACAAATGGATCTTTTCAGTTTGGTTTTGATACCCTAGGTACCTTTAATTTCATTTGAGACTGATATCCTTGGAAGATGGGAATTATAAACACTTGTACCATTAAGTCTAATTTAATTGGAAGGTGTGAGTCTCTACCCTTTGAATGGGTTTTATTAGCAATAGCACTTAGATTTATATACTGCTTCATAGTGTTTTTATAGCCCTCTCTAAGCAGTTTACACAGTCAGCATATTGCCCCCAACAGTCTGGGTCCTCATTTTACCCACCTCAGAAGGATGGAAGGCTGAGTCAACCTTGAGCCAGTGAGATTCAATCTGCCAAACTGTTGGCACCCGGTGATCAGCAGAAGTAGCTTGCAGTACTGCACTCTAACCACTGCACCACCGTGGCTCAATATTAATGAATTGACCTGCATATGATTGCACCATTATAGGTATCTTATATTATCTCTGCATTCTTCTAAATTGTTTGACATTCAGCTGAATTTTGTACTGAACTATGTATTGTATTTCAATATGTGGATACACATGTTTATCATGATAAATAAGTTTGTAATAGAAACTATAGGCAAAGTTTCATGATTTTTGTCAATTAAGAAATAATTAAGAAATATCTCCATATACCTCCATATAGATATAAAAATACCTATTCTAAATTCATGTATATTCTTATCCCTGCTAATATTCTAGATTATTGTGCTCATTTCCATTATATTCTAGCAGCTATATAATAGAAAATGTTGCACTCAGGAAAAATATGATGGTTAGCATCTGTGGTTGAGCAAAAAAGAGTTGATTGCATTTTTGAGGTATGTAGCTGACCATAGGTGTAACCTATATAATGACCTAGTGGTTGAACATCATATTTAAATGGACCATTAATCTAACTGACCTAGATACAACTTTTTTTTACAACCATAACTGAAATAAATTGGTTCACCACAGCATAGGTCTAAAATGTGTTAAACATTTTTTTAAATCTTATACTTTCAAGCAGACAGCAGATATTGAGTTGGTGATATCAACGATTCATCTCTCTTCTGTTGCACAAATCCTGAAGAAAGTGTAAATTACATGTAGTTACAATCATAGTAATCTTGTTAAAGAGCAAATATCATCCAGTGAAGATTGAGGAGAGGTTACATATAGCAAAACAGTTATAATGAAAATCTGTCTCTGTAGAAATTAACATGACCCTCATCTTTAAAATGCAGTGTACATGAATTGAGAGGCTTCAAACAATGATATATTCAAGAGGAAACGTAACATAGGCATGATATTAATGTAGGACAAAGAAAAGATTTCCCTATTCTTTCTATAGCCCTTGCTGTCTCACTTGAAAGGCTGTAATAAATGATCATCCAATCTGTATTTGAAGACCTTGAGGGAGGGAAGAACTTACTTCTATCACCTGGCAACCTTTAACCACACAATGCTTGGGTTCTAGCTACTTCACAACTGTCTTAGCATTCCTCTAACTTGCTATACAATTTGGCACTTTTTCAACTATGATACCCATTTTCAGAGAAATGTGTTCTGGTAGAGGAATGGGGAATAATTGCTTCCCATAATCTGACTTGGTTCTGCTGTTAATGCATCCTAGATAGCATTTATGTTTTTTAGCAGCTGACTTACTCTGTTATCTCAAGCTTAACTTGTGGTTGACAAGGATACCCAAATCCCTTTCATACCTATTATTGCCAGGCCAGGTTTCACCACCCTTTAATTGTGCTTTCGGGTCCCAATATTCCCTTTTTGCCTGGATTTTAACTGTCTTGCCTGATTATTAGAGACACAAAAGATTGCAATTGTTTTGCAAATCTTCAGTTGGGCTCTAATTGCATCAATGTGGCTTTTGGATGCAACGTACTAGTTAATTAAATGTCCAATTACTGGAGAGCCAATATAAGCAGGCTGTTTTTTAAGAGCCATATTTTTTACATGTTTTAAAAATGTTCTCAAGTCAACTGTTTTCTAAACATTTCAAAGTCCTAAATGTAGATGAAACATTAATTTAACTGACTCTTTGTTCTTAATTGAGCTAGAACTGAAACATGGAATATGAGTCAGAGTATATGGGATTTTTTAATGTTTGCTATTAAACATCTGTTTTTGTTTATATAATACTGTACGATATTAAGGGTATAGAGGAGGGCATACTCAGTCATTTATAAATATTTTTTCAAAAGGAAGCTGCTATTATCATCATGCTCTTTCCCCTACCTTCACTGTTTTGTACCTTTTTCAAATACTTAATTTTAATAAAGTTTACCTAAGAAGGTTTGAACAGCTGTTACATTAAAACTTGCTGGTGATAGGAATTCCTTCTAGCTTATTCACAAAATTGCTACTACTCCCACCTAACACTCCTTCAAGGTCAGGGAGCCTCTTGAGGATATTCTGTAAAAGAGTACACTGTGATAGCAAATACTATGAGGAACTGTTAAAAAACTAGGTATATATAGCTTGCAGAAGAGAAGATTGATAAGGTTGTTTAACTCTATCTGAAGGGCTATCATATTTTAGTGGGGTTGGACTTATTCTCATTTGCTCCAGAGCATAAGACTAGAACTAAGGAAATGGAATATCAAGGATGTATATATAGAGTAGATAATTTGGAAGAACTTTTTTATTTTATTTTATTTTTCTTTTCATATAATTATCCACAAGTATACCATTACATCTTAACAAACACTATTATATATTATCCAATATTATATCAATTCCTCTCACCATCTACCCACAATAACTCTCATTTGCTCTTCTGCTTAATTTGGAAGAACTTCTTGTCAGTAAGAACAGTCAATCAATAGAATAGGTGACTGCAAGGAACCACTTCTTCCTCTTTACTGGAGGTTTTCAAACTGAGGCTGGATAGTCAGCTATTGGGTATGGTGTGGTGAATTTGCTGTTGTTGGATTTCGCCTCTTAGATCCCTTGTGATTCTGTGATGCTATGAATTATATGGAATGGACAATATATTTCCACCAGTACTTCTCAGTTCTATAACACTAAAGTTTCTGAACATATCTGATAATTTTAATGAAGGAGGTTTGTATTAACATTCATTGAGCTTTACAAGATGTACAAACCTTTTAAACATTCAAGTTTGAAATATCTTGATTTTGAAACATTCCACTGCAATCTCACTAAACTATTTCAACATTAGAGTAGTTTGTTCTAGCAGAACAGTTATGTTCTGACCTCAAAAAGAAAAGCATTCAAACCACCAAATTAAGGTCAGAATGGCTCATTTTCAGGTCAGTGTACTTCTGAAAAGGTAAGGTTAGAACAAGCTCTTCTACATTAAATTACTTCCATTGATATTGAAACATTCAGTTCCATGGTTGGAACAGGCTATTTTAGAGGTGTTTCGACCTTGAAAAGTTTTGTACACCTCTTTATAAAATATATTGCCAGCAGTGGTAGAATTTGACATATTTACAGTGGAACAAATTGAAATTGTTATACAAAATTGAACCCCGTTATATTTCCACGCTCCATTTGTCCATTCCATTCAGGGAATATGTAATCATAGAAAAAGTTTTATAAACTCATCAAACAAAAATTGCATGATAGAAAAGCCCAACCGTGATACTATATGCATATATTTCTGTCAGCAAATGTGTTAGCCATGGAGCTAATCAGAATGTAGAACTTACTTTCAGACAGTATTATTCTGGTGGGAAAATATGAACCAAGATGATTGCAGGATATTGTTAGTAATAGTTTTGGATTCAATCTCACTGCACATGTGTAATTCATAATGAAATCAAAATTATTCATAAATTTGTAGCAGATCGCTGGTATTCCTTTCACCTTCAATATTTTGGGTCTCCAGTATAAAATACTGCATTTGGGTTGTGGGACTAATTTTGGATTCTGATTTTCACACAGATCATCTGAAAGAGGAGATAATCCAGAGGCACATGCAAAAGGCAGCACAAGGTACATATAATATTCCAGGATAAAATCTTTTCCACAATGGTATTTGTTTGTAGAAGTTCTCATGGTGTTAATCTTTTTTGGGGGGAGGATGTGTGTTTCATATTGTTATAGTTCATGCAACAAAATTTTCACAACTTCTTCCTTCATTGTAGACAAATGTCCCACTATACTCACATTAGCAGCAGCAGATTTAGCTGTTTAAATTTAGTGCTGCTCTTTACCGCATATTATGGAGTTAAACTTCTGAGGCCATTTGGTCATGCTGATTTATGCCTAGGTTTGTTTTTGTTAAACATTATCCTGGGATGAACTGTGACACTACAATCTATGAGAGCAGACAAAGAAAGCAAGTGCAATCAAATGTTTGCAAGCATCCCCTTAAACACATGGAGCCTTTTCAAATGTTTATGATTCTCATTTGTCTCTGAAACTGATGTGGGAAATACTACATGGAATAAATGTTAAGTAGTCTGTTTCAGGATCACACACAATTGGCAATTTTGAATAGATATTGACCGTATAATAATTTATGTGTCATTAGTATACTTTGGTAAACTTCCTTTATATATCCTTCATATATATCAATGAGAAATCATAGTTTCATATGTTAACACCAGGCATGTAGTTGTTTTGCTAATTTTGAATCTTCCAAGATTGTTTTTTTAAAAGTTCATTCATCCTTTTAAATTTAATGTAACATTGTGGACTGATATTTATTGTGTGATTTAAGTATGGTCATTTGCTTAGTGTGCTCTGGGAAATGAAATCAGGTGTTTATTCTTCTGATTTGTCCTGATAACTATAAAAGTATGACATAATAATGAAAGAAACTCTTTTTAGTAAACATAACTATATTTAAAAACCACAGGATAAAATTCAAGATAATGTTTCCATTGGAGATGTTGGTGTTAATGTTTTAGCTATCTTTTTTATTTATTTTAAGTGCCTTTCTTGATGGAGACAAATTACAAACATTTTAAATAATAGCAATCTATTTTCTCAGTGGGATATCCTTAGGATGCAGAATTCTCATTTAACAATAGTTTTATATTCAACCCTTTCCATTACTTAGAAAAATGATTTATCTAGAGATTCCTCTCATGCCATCTCTGCATGCCAGATGACTGATGGTTAGATAAATGATTGGCATTTCCTAGTAACATACTCCTGCAGGATATTATTCTATATCTACTCCTACTCAGAATACAGAATAAAAAGTATTGTGGTCCCATTCCCAGCTATTTGAAGGGCTAAGAACAAATTACAATTGTATCAAAGTTATGAAAAGAACATTTCCAAAAATTTGTTGTGGATGACAAGATAAACTCAACATTTATTAAATTTTGGTTAATATTAGGGTTCTAGATTACATTGACTATTTTCTCGGTCTATTGTACACTGATCATAGATAGGTAGTGGTCAGTGCAACATTTTTGTATCTATTTCCATTGACTAGCAGGATACAGGCATTACATGACTGATTTTGTGCTAAATGTCCTTCAGTTCAATTCCTGGTTGAAGATTTGAATCCCATAGCATAACATCTACCTATCTATATCCCATAAATTCAAATTGTGATAAGTCTGGTCACATAATGTCTCCCTCCTTCTGGTCAATAAAATAGAAAACAATACAGGAGATATATTTAAAAAAATAGAAATATTCTTCAACCATGGAAAGTGGTAGAAATAATAGAAAGCCCTATATAATAGATGTATGACATTATGACACATCTTTATTACTGTGATCTGAGGATTAAGGAAAGGTGAACTGTGTATACCATTTTGATAATTTTATTTCTAGTAGATCTGTGGGTATGTGGAAGACTAATGAACTTCTGAGCCCAGCCAATTAAGTCATACTTCTAAGAGGACTTGTATGTCACAGATATTGGTTGCTAGGCAGATTGAAATAATTAGTTATATACAATTAGAATTTTGACCAAGGAATGGGGAACCTTTTATTTTTGGATATCCACTTCTGTTGGAGGATACTGGTCCCTAGTGGATAGGATTAAAGCAGATAGTAGCAGATACAATATATGTGTGTGCATATATGTGTGGGTGGGTGTATAATCTAAGAAAGTATTAGAAATAGAAAAAATATGGAGAGAGCGAGAGAATGAATGAATGAGTATGTGTGTGGGGGGGGGGTAGGTAGGTAGGTTTGTTTTCACTCGTCTTTTTTCTATTTTTGATACTCTCTTATTTCGCTTGTCATAGGCAGCAATAGAAGAGGGAGTTTTATAAAATTCTTTTGAAACTCAGCTTTCTTAAATTAGTTGAGAGATACATATGGTCCTAAGGTTGCAGATTGTTCACCTTAGTTTAAAAAATTGAAAACCTTTCCCTAATATTTATTAATATTGCTGCAATATATTTATATATTATTGCAAAACATTTTCATTTCATCATCAAAGACTATTTTCTGTAAAGGACATTCCCACAATAAGAACACTTTATCAAATATGGAAATGCATGTGAACTCATTTTTTCCCTGATTTTTGTTGAACAAGTGACAAGGTCACATGCAACTCAGAGGACAAGAGGAAGTTACGGTAGAGCAGCAATATGCGGGAGTGATGGTGGTGCATGTGAAGACTGAATATGAGTTGGATTTATCTCAGTATTTCACAGTTAATTTTATTTCAGTGCTATAGTACATTCTGCTATTTGAATATTTGTGTTTCAAATTGAAATAATAGCAATCCGCATCTGTCTATGTTAGCTAAATATTTATAGCTATTGTTTATCATCACTTTCAATAGTGACTCCTAGATGCATTTTAGAGCATTCCTCCTTTATAAAAAGTCCTCCCCCACCAATATTTCTATGTGTAGAATAAAGTAATTGGCATTACTTATCCTTACCCATTACCCTTGGAATTCTGTGACTAAAAAAAAATAGATTATTCAGATGATGTTTGTTAAGAACATAGATTTCCATTAATTCTGGAACAAGATTTTGGTAACATATCTGGATATGCACCTCAAAACATTCTGTGAATATTTTGCCTTAGGGAAAAATATAATTTATTCTGACTGATTTAAATCTTAAAAGCTTCATATTTCTTCAGTGCCATAGCAAATGAGTTTATTGGCAGGAAATCTGCAAAAACAGTGATGCGAGGACAAATATAAAGGCATAGAAAGTAAATTTACTTCATTAAAATAATTGCTTGTGTGTTAAACTTGAACATACTAATTCATGATCCAGGGGCGGGGGTAGGTTGCAATATGTTCATGTTTCCTATAAAAACAATTGTAATAATTATGTGCTTCAACTAGATATATTAAAGTGACTATTAATCTAATATAATAAATTATTATTAAATTTATGTGCCATCCATCTTGCAGTTTGTGGTGATCCTGGGCAGCTTATGATTAAATGTGTTACCCAATAATTTTGATTTACTGGAATAGGTCTGAGAAAACTGGCATTCTGGGACAAGGTCAATGAGAAGCTAAGTTAAAAAATACATTAATGGCTTTAATTAATAATAGTATACTTCTAGTCAGCATTCATGTCTACCAATAGTGTTCACACTGATGTTTTACAGCTATCGGCTTCCAACTGGCATTTTCCACATTTGTTGAGACTACAGTTCCCAGAAGTTCAGGTTCAGGTTTATTGGACTTACTGTATATGCTGCCCTTCTCCCGAAGGACTCAGGGTGGCGTACAACATAAAAACACATATTACAAAAATTAAAAGAAAGATTAAATAGAATATCCAAAAAACTCAATAGACATTTACACTGAGATTTAGAAATTAAATTAAAATTAACAATTAAAATTAACAATTTATTTTATTCAGGCCAGACCAGCTTTCTGGAAAAGTCAACTTTTTAGGGTGCGCCAGAAGGACCAGAGGTTGGGAATTACGCAAAGCTCCAGGGGCAGCTCATTCCAAAGGGAAGGCGCTCCCACAGAGAAGGCTCTCCCCCTGGGGGTCACCAGCCGACACTGCCTGGCCAATGGCACCCTGAGGAGGCCAACTCTGTGGGATCGTACTGGATGGTAGGAGGCTACTGGTGGCAGTAGGTGGTCTCGCAAGTACCCTCACCCTAAGCCATGGAGTGCTTTAAAGATCATAATTAACACCTTGAATCACACCCAGAAAAAAACTTGCAACCAGTGCAGGCCGCCTAAAAGGGGTGTAACATGGGAGCACCTAGGTACCCCCATGACAACCCGTGCAGCCGCATTCTGGACCAGCTGAAGCCTATGGGTGCTCTTCAAGGACAGCCCCATGTAGAGACTATTACAGTAGTCCAGGCGAGAAAGGATGAGGGTGTGAGTGACTGTATACAGGGCATCCCGATCCAGGAAGGGGCGTAACTGGCATACCAGGCGAACCTGGTAAAAGGTCCCCCTCGTCACGGTAGTCAG